CATGTACCCTAGAACTTAAAGTATAATAATGAAAAAAAAAAATTCAAGATCTTCAACAATTATTAGACCAAGCAGGAGAAAAAGTTTCAGAACTTCAAGAGAGGTCATTTGAAATAACACAGTCAGACAAAAGAGAGAGGGAGGGAGGGAGAGAGAGAGAAAAAAAAAAGAACAAATAATAAAGAATAAAAAAGAATGAATAAAGCCTATGTGACACATGGAACATCATAAAGTGACCAAAGTTTTGAATCGTGGTTGTTCCACATGGTCAAGAGAAAAGGCATATAAAAACTATTTAATAAAATGATGGCTGAAAACTACCCATGTCAACAAGAGATTCCCGAATATACACAACCCAAAAAGGTCTTGTACAAGGCACATTATAGTCAAACTGTCAAAAGTAAAAGACAGAGATACAAGCCACATACAAGAAAACTGTTATCAGACTAACAGTGGATTTCTTAGCAGAAATCTTACAGGCTAGGAGAAAATAAGATGATATATTCAAAGGGCTGAAAGAAAACAAACTGTCAGCCAAGAATGATATATTCAGCAAAGTTATTGTTCATAAATGAAGGAAAAATAAAGTATTTTCCAGACAAACAAAAACTAAAGAAATTCATCACCATTAGGCTGGCCCTACAAGAAATGCTTAAAGGAGTACTACACTTAAGCAAAAAGATAGCTACTGTCATAAAACTGGATGTGAAAACACACAAATGAGGAAGAAGAACTCAAATGTTACTATGACAGAAAATCACCAAACCACAATGATAAACAACACAAGAGAAAGAAAGGAACAAAGGATAAAGAAAACAACCAGAAAATAAGAAAACAATAGGAATAAGTCCTCACATATCAATATTATTATTGAATGTAAACAGACAATGGCTGAATGGATTTTAAAAACATGACCAAACTATATACTGCCGATAAGAAACTCACTTCACCTGTAAAGAAACATATAGACTGGTTGTAAAAGAATGGAAAAACTATTCCATGTAAACAGAAACCAGAAGTGAGCAGGAGTAGCTGTAGTTATTTCAGATAAAACAGACTTTAAGTCAAAAAAAATAAAAAGAGACAAGGATAATTATTATATAATGATAAAAGGATCAATTCAGAAAGAGGATATACCAATTTTAAACTTATACTTACCCAACATTGAAGTATGCAAATATATAAAGTGCATATTAAATCTAAAGGGACAGAGAGATTCCAATAAAATAATAGCTAGAGACTTCAACACTTCATTCTCAGCATTAGACAGATCGTCTAGACAGAAAATCAATGAAGAAACATTGAGTTTAAACATCATTTTAAACCAAATGGCCCTAACAGATAATTACAAAATATTTTTTTCAATAGCTGCAGAACACACATTCTTCTTGTGAGCACATGGAACATTTTCCAGGCCACACCATATGTTAAGCCACAAAAGAAGTCTTAACACATTTTTACAAGTCAAAAGCATATCATGTATCTTGTCAGAACATGATAGATTAAAACTAGAAATCAGTAACTAGAGGAACTTTGGGAACTGTGCAAACACATGGAAATTAAGCAAAATGCTCATGAATAATCACTGAATCAATGAAGAAATTAAAAAGGAAATAAAAAATTCTTGAAACAAATGAAAATGAAAAAAAAAATAAAACCTCTGGGATATAACAAAAGCAATGCTAAAAATGTAAGTTGATAGCAATAAACACCTCCATCAAAACAGTAGAAATGTTTCAAATAAACAATGCACCTCAAGAGACTAGAAAAGCAAAAACAAACCAATCAACAAAAATTAATAGAAGGAAAGAAATAAGGATCAGAGCAGAACTAAGTGAAATAGATACTTAAGCAAAGGATCGACCACATCAAAACTTGGTGTTTTAAAAAGATAAAGATTAAAAAAAAAAAGTAGGTAGACTAACTTAAAAAAGATAGAAGATACAAATTAACAAAATCAGAAATGAAATAGAGCTGATACCACAGAGTTACAAAAGATAATCAGAAAATATTATGAACAACTATATGCTGATAAATTGGAAAATCTAGACGAAACTGACAGATTTCTGAACACATATAACCTACCAAGATTGAATTAAGAAGTAGCAGAAGAGGTTGATTATAGTTAATAACAATGATTTTGTATTTCAAAATAGCTAGGGAGAGGTCTAGAAATGTTCCCAACACAACCAGGTGGCCTCACTGCCAATTTTTTCCAAACCTTTAAAGAACTAACACCAATTCCCCTCAAACTATTCCAAAAAATTGAAGAGAATGGAATTCTCTGTAACTCAATCTACAAGGCCAGCATTTATTCTGATACGAAAACCAGACAAGGACATAAAAAAATAAAAGTACAAGTCAATATCTCTGTTGAATATAAACATAAAAATCCCCAACAAAATGCTAGCAAACCAAATTCAACAACCTATCAGAAAGATAATGCACTGTGATCAAGTTGGATCTATACCACGGATGTAAGGGTGGTTTAACATATGCAAATCAATAAACAAGGTACATCAACAAAAAGAAGGACAAAACCATATAATCATCTCAGTAGACGCAGAAAAAAACATTTGATAAAATTCAACATTCCTTCATGATAAAGCTCTCAAAAACTTAGGCATAAAAGGAACGTACCTCAAACTAATAAAGTCCATATATGACAAACCCACAGCTAACATGGTACTGAATGATGAGAAATCGTTGAGGTGATAGTTATTCTAAATAATCTAACTTGAGTTTTATGCACACTATACATATAACCAAATATCACATGTACCCCATAAATTTGCACAAATATTATGTATTAACAAAAAAAAGAAAATGACAACATATGATAATCTGAAACCACAGGAACAAATTAATAGAACCAGAAATTATAAATAAGAAGGTTAATATAATAAACATTAGAAATATATACTTCTTTCTTCCCTCAACTTTTTAAAAAAGCATAAAATTAGATAAATAAATAATTATAACGACAACTATAACCATGTCTTTATTATTTACAAATGTAGTGTGTATAACAATAGCACAAAAATGGGGAACAGGGAATATAGCTATCTAAGAGTAGCTTTTCTATATTTCACTAGAATTTAGTATAAATTTAAAGTACTTTTTAAAATTGACTGTGATGATGGTGACAGACATTACTGAATGTATTAAAATCCATAGAATTTAAGATTTTAGATCGCTTAAAATACTCAGTGAACTTCAAGCAGAAAAAGATTTTTAAAAGATTTAAAGCAAAGTGAGAATATTGGAAAGGAGAAAAATTGTAAATCTTACTAAATTATAAGTATCTTCAGCACATACCTTTTAATTTCTAGTATTTAACCCAATCTTTCCTCAGATGGTCTCATTTTTTCCCTGATTGTGTACGGATCATTTGCTTGCTCATTTCAAATGAACCGGTCTTTCTTTGATATATCAGTTGAAGAAAGAACAAACGAAGAAAAAAATACATCTGCTGATGTTTCCAGTTTTGAGTTGCTGTATCTCTTATATTGTTACTTAATTACTGAAAACTTGTTCTGCTCAATCTTATGGATGACTTTTTACTTTGGTAATGAGGCAGTGCTCAGTATAGAATGCAGTTGTGACATATTTGAGCAGCTGGTGTCATAATGCAACCACTTACATTATTCATGTATTCACCAATTTTTCCAAAACAGCAAAAACAACAACAACAACAAACTACTCTAGAATACAATGGAAGGATTATGACAGGTGTCCAATCATAGTTATATACTCTGCTAGAGCCAATTCTACCCACACAATCTTAAGCCCAATGTTGACCTTACGTCACCAATCCTCATTATCCCCTTTTCAATATGAATTTCTTTTTAATAATTTTTATACATTTTTATCTCATTGAACTTAGTAGTTTCTAATTCCAGGAAAATATCAAACCACATAAACACTTAAATGGAAACGGATCTAATAACAATTCTGGTAGTGCTGCAAATTGACCATTACCTCCTTGATTCTCGTTTAAGGGACCTCAGAGGGCAGGTTTTCTCAGTTTGACAAATATCTTGTAATTTGTTCATAACTAATATCTAAAGAATTTACAATTCCATAATGTAAAAAGGGGAAAGAAATATTCCTCAATGAGTCAAATAATTTCTGCCTCATGATAAGTTTCTGTGACTAATGAGGCCATGGTTTGCGGCTTGACCTATGGAAAAAAATGTTCCCCCTCACATAGTACATACCTACAGGTTGAGTATGTTTTTAGTGTAAACTGGAAAGATACATTATTATCATAATGTCCCTAGGATAATTTCAATTTGCATAAGAGATAGAATTGTATAGAACAATTACTGGTTAAGAAAGTATACAGCATCGGGTGGTGTATGAGTGGTGCGTTTCCCTGGCTATATGATATTTCAATTCATTAAACATATCTAAGCCTGAATATAGTCTGGCTTATATAATTGTTAACATCCATTCCTTTTTAAGGTTTTTGTTATTTTCCAATAAAGACATTTCATTTTAATTATTCTATAAATACAATTTTTATTTTTATTTTATTTTATATATATACATATATGTGTGTGTGTGTGTGTGTGTGTGTGTGTGTGTATATATATATATTTTTGGTGACAGAGTCTTGCTGTGTCACCAGGCTGGAGTGCAGTGGCACGATCTCAGCTCACTGCAACCTCCGACTCCCAGGTTCGAGCAATTCTTCTGCCTCAGCCTCCCGAGTAGCTGGAACTACAGGCATGTGCCACTACACCCGGCTAATTTTTGTATTTTTAGTAGAGATGGGGCTTCACTGTGTTGGCCAGGATGGTCTCAATCTCTTGACCTCATGATCCACCCGCACTTTGGCCTCCCAAAGTGCTGGGATTACAGGCATGAGCCACTGCGCCCAGCCACAAATATTTTAAATTAGTAACACACACACATATATGCACATGCACACACACTGTTACATTTGTATATGAACGATTACCTTACAGTGTTTTGATATCTGTTTATTTCTATAGGGTCTGAAATAGAACAGTTGACAGATGCATTTGGAAGAGATATACTAAAGGATGAATTCAAGACACGATCAAAGAGTCTCCCTGGTAAGAACAAAAACTTTACACATTTAGTATTTCTGGTTCGTTTCGTTCTCTGGAGTGTAACTAAGTGTGCATCTTCAAGGAGAGCAGTGCCTATACATTATTACATAGGCAAAAGTCTTTGTGAATTCCCCTCTATAATATTTCAAGTCTAGTTTCAACTAGCAATGTAAAATTAGCTTTTCAAAAACAGGAAGGCTAGATGATGGGTGTGATAAGAAGATGAATATAACAGAGAATAATTTTATTGGTTACCAGTTCACTCTATATGGTAAAAATATCAGTCAAGTTTGTACCATCTCAGCTGCAATAAAGTTATTTAGTAATATTTTTCAGAGATTACACAACTGAATTTAGTCCCGGGGTTACAGGGTTAGACACACTTCTCTGTGACCGTTGGTGTGATACCAAAAGAAGACACTTTAGCAAATAAATAATGGAAAGAGACATTCAAAGAGTGCCGTGCTAAAACCACTGTCATCCAAGGGAGACTGTTTGATGCCCAAGGAGATGCCCTTAAAGAGCAACATAAGAGACTTTACACTGTAGAGGATAGAGACTTTAGGAAAATACTTCTGTCAAATCACACACATACACAAACACACACACACACACACACACCCCTACCACCACCAAGAAACAAGAAAACAAGAACAACAAGCCCCCCAAAAAGGAAGAGTCAACCAACATACAGATTTGCTATAATACGTTATCTAAAATGTCCAGATTTTAGCAAAAAAATTAAGACATGCACAGAAACAGTACTCTGTAACCCAAACACCAGGAAAAAGGCAAGGAAAACTGCCTGTGAGAGTCCTACATGTTAGATTTAGCAGACAATGACTACAAAGTAGTCAAATAATAATAATAATATCATCAAATAATTAAAACTCTTCTGAAAGAAGAAAAAGAAGGTATAATGACACTCTTTTATCAAATAGATGTCAACATTGTGATACAAATTAAACTTTTTAAAGAACCAAATTAATATTTGGAATTGAAAGGTAAAATAACTGCAAGGGAAAATTCATTAGAGGGTCAAGGAAAGATTTGAACTGTCAGAAGGAATACGCAAACTTAATATAATGGGAATACCAGAATGAGAGTATTCCAAGTAGAGAGAGAATAAGAAAAAATATTTGAAGAAAAATGGCTGAATACTTTGAAAAATATTTACTGGGTCATATTAATCTATACATCCAAGTTCTATTAAATCTAAGTAGAACAAACACAAATCAATCCATGACCAAAGTAATCATTGTAAAAATGTTGAAAGACAAAGAGAAAATGTAAAATGCATCAAGAGAAAAACAATTCATCCCATAGAAGGTAACCCCAGTAAGATTAACATCTGTCTTAGCATTAGAAACTTACGAAGTCCAGAAGGCCATGGTGTTGTATATTAAAAGTGCTGGAAGAAAATAAAATCTACCAAGCAATAACTTTATTGCTAGCAAAACTATTTTTCAGAAAAGGTGAAAAATGAAATTGCTAAATAAATAAAAATTGAGAGATTTCATTTCTAGCAGAACTGTTTTCCAAGAAATTCTAAAGAAATTTGTTTAGGCTAAAAGGAATTGACCTCTTGACAGTAATTTGAATCCCCCTAAAAAAGGTATGAGTTAAATGTTATAATTGCAAAAGACAGTATTATAAATATATATTCCACATCCTTTCTTTTCTTAATTTATCTAAAAGACAACTGTATAAAAATATTTATATAATTGTATCATTGAGCATATAACATATCAACTTGTAATATATTCACAATAGCAGCACAAAGGTGATAGGAGAGAGAAGTGATGTAGCACTCTAAGAAAATAACACTGGATGATAAATACAGAGCAACAATAAAAAGAACCAAAAAATGTAAATAAGTGTGTTCATATAACAAATACTATAAACATGTACTTGGTCTTGTTTCTTTTCTCAGTTTATTGAAAAGGTATAAAGTTATACAAATAAATAATTATAACAATAATTATTACATTGTCCTTAATATTTACAGGTATAATATGTATAACAATAGCACAAATACTGGGGAAAGAGAATAAAGCTATATATAAAGGAGTAGTGTTTCTGTATCTCAGTAGAATGCAATTTGTGTAAATGTGAAAAAGATTATAAAGTTGACTGAGGTAATAATTACACATTTCTGTAATAAGCATTGAATTGGACACTTTAAATGGAAAAATAGTATGGTTTAAAAATATACACATTTTTAAAAGCTCAGGAACTCTAAGCAGGATAAGATTTTGTAAAATTTAAAGCAACAGGATAATAATGTAAGGGAGGAAAATTGTGACTTTTACTAGTTGATAAATTTCTCCAGCACATAACTTTGTATTCCTAGTGTTTAACTCTAAAATGCTCTCCTCATTGACTCCCTGCTTATCTAAAAATCCTCTGATTTCTTAATTCAAACGAATCAGCCTTTCTTTCTTGTATCTGTAGGAGAAAAACAAAAGAGCTGAAATGCACCTGTTAATGTTCCTCAGTTTTCTGTTGCATATAGCTTTACTTTTACAAAATGTTGTTACTGAATTATTGAAAACTCATTTTGTCCAACATGATGGTTTTTTGTTTTGTTTTGTTTTGTTTTGTTTTGTTTTGTTTTGAGATGGTGTCTCACTCTGTTGCCCAGGCTGGAGTACAGTGATGCGATCTCAGCTTACCACAACCTCCACCTCCCGGGTTCAAGTTATTCTCCTGCCTCAGCCTCCTGAGTAGCTAGGACTACAGGTGCCTGCCACCACGCCCTGCTAATTTTTGTATTTTTAGTAGAGACAAGGTTTCACTGTGTTGGCCAGGCTGGTCTCGAACTCATGACCTCGAGATCCACCCAGTTCAGCCTCCCAAAGTGCTAGGATTACAGGCATGAGCCACTGACCTGGCCAGTATGATGCATTTTTACAATGATGCATAATCTGGTTTCTGCCTCTATTTGAATTATATTGGTGGTTTATTTGGGCTGACATGATAATAGTGCAAATTTTAACATTAATCATGGGCTCGGCCAATATTCCAAAGCAAGACTTCTACTCTGTTGTTCAGGATCATTACAGGTGTCCAACTACCATTACATGCTCTGCTAGAACCAACTTTGACACAAAAAAACTTTAGGTTTAATAAACCGGGTTTACCAATTCTAATTATCCCTTTTTCAATATGAAATTCTTTTTAGTAGATTTTTTAGTTTTTCCATCATTATACCTAGATACTAGTTTCTAAATCCAACAAAGTGTATAAATCACATAAAACTCAAATGAAAAGGAATACAATCCTAATGCTGGTACTACTGCAAATATTCCTGTTTTCTTCTTTCCAGCTACAAAGTCTACCTGCTAAGAGAACCAGAGAGAAGAGACTTTTTCTCATTACATGCGTTATTTCTTATTCTTTTTTTTATCACTGATGCCTATTTGAATTATAGTTACACCACCTAAAATAAACTATTAAAATATTTCTGGAATAGTCAAGGAACTTCTGTTTTATCATATTTTGTGAGTTGTGATGACCGTTGTGTACAGATAGGTCAATTATGAAAAAAAAATTTATGTTCCACCTCACCAGATATACCCCTACAACATGCATATGTTCTTAATATATCCTTGAAAGTTATGTTATTACCACAAACTAGTGTGATTTAAATTTGCATATGAGATTGCATTATATAGAAAAAATAGTTAAGAAATAAGGTAGCATAAGTCTGTGCCTCAATTTTGTTATTACTTGCTATATGGTATACATATAATAAGGTTTATATGATTGCTAATTGTCCTTTCAATTTAAGTTCCTATGTTGCTACAATCTGGACATTTTATTATAATTCTTGTACTCTAATGAAGAATATTAATTAGGATAGTATTAGACACATGCACACACACGTTAATATTTATGTTAGAAAAGTGTTTTGAAATCTGTTTGCTTTTATAGAGACTGATGAACGATTGCGTCGTGCAACTGAGAGAGGTACAATAAATAATGCAATGAAGACACAGTTAAAGAGAAAGACTTACCCTGGTAAGAATAAGAATTTGTAAATCTACTTATGGTTTACTATCTTCTCTGGAGTTTAAGTATGTATCTCTAATGACAACAGTACCTATATGTAATTATTACATGAGAAAAAGTCTTCATGAATTTCCTCCTATAATTAGTTGAACTCTAGTATTTATTCTCAATAGAAAATTAACTTTAGGGCTCATTTATTTAAAAAGTTATCCATAAAAGTCTAATGCTATAATGACCTTAGAATATGCTTGCAGAAATATTTCAAATGCTCTTCAATTTACTTTCTATTTATGGCTAATTAGGAAAGTTGCTTTGTATTTGCAAAAGCAGAATTGCTAGCTTATGAACATGATAACAAGATGAATATAACTGATAATTATTTCATTGGTTACCCATTCCCTCTTATATCATTATGTTATCAGGCAAATTGACAATGTTTCAACTGCTTTAGTTTTGTTATATAGTTCAAAAACTATACTACTGCATTTTTAGTGGTGAAACAGTGACACACTTCTCCTTAATTTTTGGTGTTGTACCCAAAGAGGCAGAGAGCTTAACAGAGACATAAGGGAAAGAGACAGATGAAGAGAGCCCTGTTAAAACAACTCTCATCCAAAAGTGATTGTGTGTTATGATGGTTAATACTGTCAACTTGATTGGATTGAAGGATTCAAAGTATTGATCCTGGTGTGTCTGTGAGGGTGTTGCCAAAGGAGATTAACATTTGAGTCAGTGGGTTGGGAAAGGCAGACACATCCTTAATCTGGGTGGGCACCATCTAATCAGCTGCCAGCATGGCTAGAATATAAAGCAGGTGAAAAATGTGAAAAGACTAGACTGGCCTGGCCTCCCAGCCTACATCTTTCTCCTGTGCAGATGCTTCCTGCCCTCATGTGAGTTAATACTTAATAAACTTCCATTGATCTATATCTATATCTATCTTCTATTACTTCTTTCCCTTTAGAGAATCCTAACTAATACAGATTTTGGTACCAGGAGTGGTTCTAGAGGAACAGAGTATTAAGGATGGAGTTTCTTTTGTTGGTTTTGGGGTTTCTGGAGTTGGCTGCTTAATATGATTAAACACAAAAATGTTAAGGACTCTACTTCTAATAGTGTGGAGAACACTGATAAAGAGCTGGAATTGTAGAAAAAGATACACAAGCTCTTATCATGCAAGTGGCTGACCTGCAATGAAAGGTGCATGCACAGCCTTGCCAGGTGTCTACTCTTAAAGTGAGGGCATTGATTGAAAAAGAATGGGATCCTGAAACTTGGAATGGGGATGTGTGGAAGGACCAAATGAAGCTGGAGACACTGAGTTTGTAAACTCTGATGAATCTTTTTTACCAGAAGAAGCAGCTTCCCCATCCCCAATAGTGGCAACATCCCCTCCCCAACCCATGCTGCCACAAGCCTTTGCATCTTTGTCTGAGAAGATAAACTCTGTGCTGCCTGAGGCAACAGTGATGGCCTCCCCTGAGGCAGTTGCCAGGCAAGATAATGTTTATTCTCCTCAGGAACCACCCCCAACATCCCTGTTTGCTTCTAGACCTATAACTAGACTAAAGTCCCAGCAGTTCAAAGTGTAACCCCCATGGAAGTGCACTACACTCCGAAAGAACTACTTGAGTTTTCTAATTTATATGAGCAGAAATCTGAAGAACTTGGAGTCCAGTGTGCGAGGGCAGGAAGCATCCAGCACGGGAAAATGATGCCCTCCTTTTGAGAGACAGCTCTTGTCCTGTTACTGGGTTTTGGTAGAAACTGAACATTTGACTATGGGTCATCTAGTCACCATGTGACCTGAACTACCTATCATGAACTGGGTGCTTGCTGACCCGTCTAGCCATAGAGTGGGGCATGCACAGCAGCATTCTATTATCAAATGGAAGTGGTATGTACATGATCGGGCTTGAGCAGGTCCTGAAGGCACAAGTGAGTTACATGAGAAGTGGCTCAAATGCCCATGGTCCCCACTCCTGCCACCCTGCCTGCTCTCCCCCAGCCTGCACCAATGGCCTTATGGGGAGTTCCTTATGATCAGTGGACAGAGGAAGAAAAGACTAAGGCCTGGTTCACAGATGGTTCTGCATGCTGTCAGGCCTCTGAGCCTAAGCTAAGCCATCATATCCCCTGTGACCTGCATGTATACATCCAGATGGTCTGTTCCTGCCTTAACTGATGACATTACCTTGTGAAATTCCTTCTCCTGGCTCATCTTGGCTCAAAAAGCTCCCCCACTGAGCACCTTGTGACCCTCACTCCTGCCCACCAGAGAACAACCCCCCTTTGACTGTAATTTTCTTTTACCTACCCAAATCCTATAAAACGGCCCCACCCCTATCTCCCCTTCGCTGACTCTCTTTTCGAACTCGGCCCGCCTGTACCCAGGTGAAATAAACAGCCTTGTTGCCCACACAAAGCCTGTTTGGTTGTCTCTTCACACGGACGCGAGTGAAATTTTGGTGCCGTGACTCGGATTGGGGGACTTCCCTTGGGAGATCAGTCCCCTGTCCTCCTGCTCTTTGTTCTGTGAAAGATTCACCTATGGCCTCTGGTCCTCAGACTAACCAGCACCAGGAACATCTCACCAATTTTAAATCGGGTAAGCGGCCTCTCTTGAGTCTCTTCTCCAACCTCTCTCACTATCCCTCAACCTCTTTTCTCCTTTCAATCTTGGCACCACACTTCAATCTCTCCCTTCTCTTCATTTCAGTTCCTTTCCTTTCCCAGTAGAGACAAAGGAGATGCGTTTTATTGGTGGACCCAAAACTCCGGCGCCGGTCACAGACTCGGGAAGACAGTCTTCCCTTGGTGTTTAATCACATGGGGACGCCTGCCTGATTATTCACCCACGTTTCAGAGGTGTCTGACCATGCGGGGATACCTGCCTTGGTCCTTCACCCTTAGCAGCAAGCACCACTTTCCTAGGGGGCAAGCACCCCCCACCCCTTCTCTCCGTGTCTCTACCCCTTCTCTTTAAACCTGCCTCCTTCACTATGGGCAGCCTTCCACCCTCCATTCCTCCTCCTTCTCCCTTGGCCTGTGTTCTCAAGAACTTAAAACCTCTTCAACTCTCACCTGACCTAAAATCTAAATGTCTTATTTTCTTCTGCAATACTGCTTGACCCCAATACAAACTTGACAATGGTTCCAAATAGCCAGAAAATGGCACTTTCAATTTCTCCATCCTACAAGACCTAAATAATTCTTGTCGTAAAATGGGCAAACGGTCTGAGATGCCTGATGTCCAGGCATTCTTTTACACATTGGTCCCTCCCTAGTCTCTGCTCCCAATGAGACTCATCCCAAATCTTCCTTCTTCCCCTCCCACCTGTCCCCTCAGTCCCAGCCCCAAGCGTCGCTGAGTCTTTTGAATCTTCCTTTTCTACAGACCCATCTGACCTCTCCCCTCCTCCCCAGGCTGCTTCTCGGCAGGTCCCAATTCTTCCTCAGCCTCCACTCCCCCACCCCATAATTCTTTTATCACCTCCCCTCCTCACACCCGGTCCAGCTTACAGTTTCATTCTACCACTAGCCTTCCCCCACCTGCCCAGCAATTTCCTCTTAAAAAGGTGGCTGAAGCTAAAGGCATAGTCAAGGTTAATGCTCCTTTTTCTTTATCCGACCTCTCCCAAATCAGTTAGCGTTTAGGCTCTTTTTCATCAAATATAAAAACCCAGCCCAGTTCATGGCTCATTTGGCAGCAACCCTAGATGTTTTACAGCCCTAGACCCTGGAAGGTCAGAAGGCTGTCTTATTCTCAATATGCATTTTATTTTATTACCCAATCGGCTCCTGACATTAAATAATATATATAGCTTTATTTTCTTTCCCCAGTATTTGTGCTATTGTTATACATATTATACCTGTAAATATTAAGGGCAATGTAATAATTATTGTTAAATAAAGCTCCAAAAATTAAATTCCGGCCCTCAAACCCCACAACAGGACTTAATTAGCCTTGCCTTCAAGGTGTACAATAATAAAGAAAAGTTACAATTACATGCCTCCACTGTGAGACAAAATCCCAGCCACATCTCCAGCACACAAGAACTTCCAAATGCCTAAACCACAGTGACCAGGCGTTCCTCCAGGACTGCTTCCCCAAGGAACTTTCTTCAAGTGCTGGAAATCTGGCCACTGGACCAAGGAATGCCTGCAGCTCGGGATTCCTCCTAAGTTGTGTCCCATCTGTGTGGGACCCCACTGGAAATCAGACTGTCCACCTCACCTGGGAGCCACTCCCAGAGCCCCTGGAAATCTGGTCCAAGGCTGTCTGACTGACTCCTTCCCAGATCTTCTTGGCTTAGTGGCTAAAGACTGACGCTGCCCGATTGCCTCGGAAGCCTACAGGACCATCACAGACACTTTAGGTAACTCTCACAGTGGAGGGTAAGTCCATCCCCTTCTTAATCAATACAGAGGCTACTCACTCCACATTACATTCTTTTCAAGGGCCTGTTTTCTTTGCCTCCATAACTGTTGTGGGTATTGACGAACAGGCTTCTAAACCTGTTAAAATTCCCCAACTCTGGTGCCGGCTTGGACAACATTCTTTTATGCACTCCTTTTTAGTTATCCCCACCTGCCCAGTTCCCTTATTAGGTTGAGACATTTTAATTATCTGCTTCCCTGACTATTCCTGGGCTACAGCCATACCTCATTGCCACCTTTTCCCCCAGTTCAAAGCCTCCTTCACATCCTCCCCTCGTATCTCCCCACCTTAAACCACAAGTATAGGACACCTCTACTCTCTCCTTAGTGACTGATCATGCATCCCTTACTATCCTATTAAAACCTAATCACCCTTACCCTGCTCAATGCCAATATCCCATCCCACAGCATGCTTTAAAAGGATTAAAGCCTGTTATCACAGCGTGGCCTTTTAAAACCTATAAACTTCCCTTACAATTCCCCCATTTTACCTGTCCTAAAACCAGACAAGGCTTACAGGTTAGTTCAGGATCTGCGCCTTATCAACAAAATTGTCTGGCCTATCCACC